CGAGGTACGAGAGATTTGGGACGAAAACGAGTACGATGACAAACATGGGGATTTTACAAGATGTGTGCGAATCTCTAGGTTAAACTATCTAACGTACGAATGACGGACACTCTCTGGTCCAATTAACAAAAACGAAGCACTCTTTTTCCTTCTCGAAATTCTTCCCGTCTATCAACGGCTGCATCAGCTCAGTCTTCCTCCATGGCTACTAATGCAGGCTGGTGTCACGAGTGGTGCTTAAGTGGCAATTTACTATGGCACGCCCCGCATAACCCGTGACTTGATTGCTCCGTGAGTGGAGAAATCGACCAGTGGGTGGGCGGGTGGGTCCTTAAAAACTATTCAACTAGCTCGTCCAAGTGTTGATCACGTGATCCGTTGGTGCAGGAGGTATCACAACAGAGGTTCAAAGAAAGTTATGGTTTCGCTGTGTTGTGTTGCAGCGAACCCAATGGACTGCGCGTGCGCATTCAACTGCCACGCCTGCCTCAGTTCCTTCCGTTACCTTCGCCAACTACAACGTCTATCAACGGCTGCATCAGCTCAGTCTTCCTCCATGGCTACTAATGCAGGCTGGTGTCACCAGTGGTGCTTAAGTGGCAATTTACTATGGCAAGCCCCGCATTACCCGTGACTCGATTGCTCCGTGAGTGGAGAAATCGACTGCCAGCACCGCCAAAGCCCATCATGGTGGAGTCGGGGAAGGAGGTGGGAAGGAAAGAAAAGTTTAGTACATCGGGGCGAGAGCAACTTCATTGGGAACAAAGACATAGTCACCACCCTGCAGCATGCGACTGGCAAAGCCTTGCATGACTGGTTGGGCTTGGAGGTGGAGATATCGGAGCATGGCGTCGCTTTGCCAGCGTCCGATGAGGCGAATGGTGTTGCTGTTGACATGTGAATTGAAGAGTGCCATGGCTCCGCCAGCGCGGAGGGAGCGTGCACTGACGTCTTGTTCAGAGAAGTTGTACTGAGGACCGAGTACTCGAGCAGATTCGCGAAGGACCGCTGTGATATCTTTAGCTTGTACTTTGTAAGTGCGATTGTTGTGAAAGTAGGTGGCAAGAATAGTCCCTGGTGTTGCTTGGTGTGAGCGAAGATGAATAATTTGACGGACCACTGCTCTGACAGGGCAGAGGAGGTTGTGGCCGCTTAATCCATG